GTTGATCCGTTGAATAGTTTGCCAGAAACGGCTTATTAACGCTCATCATGAAAAGCCCTGTATAGATATCATCTCTTGATAAAACTTTAGATTTCTTTCCTGGATATCCTAATCGTTTGATCCCAATAAGCGCGACCAATTTTGAAAATTCCCTTATATCATTATTTTCCTTGGAATTCCATGTATTTTCTAACATTGAATAGACAACCCATAACGTAGGAGGTTTGATTATTTTAGATTTCATCTCAAAATAGCATAATAAGCACATTTTCAGAAACCTTTTTTACATGTTTCTTGTCGCACCATTCACGAAATGTTTTCTCATATGCTAACTTGGATTTGGTCGGCAAAATATTAGATACTATTGCATTTACTTTCTCAGATATATCTAATGGGTGATCACTACCACTATTATAATTAACATTCATTTTCTTGAAAATAACTTGAAATTGAATTGTTTTGAAAGTATTGATAACATTAAGAATGAAATGTATGGAGAAGAGAAGTATCATTTAGTTATTTCAGACTTATTTTTTCCAGATAGGAAAATTTTTTTAATACTATTTTACTGAAAACATTGAAGAATATTTTCAAGACAACAGTCGTTTAAAAGCGATAACTAATCGAGACAAAAAACCACGTCAAGATGTATTGGTGTTTTTATGGCCCATTCGAGATAATTTTTGGCCTACTCAGTTGATGACTTATCTTCGATCATCACCTTTTTACTGACTTACCATCTGACCTGCCATTTAATTCAACCCCTTTTAAATCTGATATCAGTTTTGTCACTAATCTTCTGCCATCGTGAATACTCTTGAATGACTCACCCTAATATTTTTCTGTCAGGAACACCAAATACTGAAGCGATTGTATCATTATAGTCCTGTTCAACCAGAGAGTCATTAAAGATTTGTTCAACCGTTGTATCATTAAGGTTTCGTTCAACTGGAACTGGCAAGAAGGCTGGAAAAACTATATCCTGACGCAACTTGGTGTCCGATCCATTTCTTATATACACGAGAATGAGGCAGAAGAATACAGTTGCCATGATTTCTACGATAGTTTGAAGTGGTTTTCGATACTGAAGAAGAACATTTTTCCACATGAGAAGAAAAAATTTATCCACATTCCTACCCATTGTAGGTATCTGAAAAAAATGTATAATCAAATTGAGAGGGGTATCTTTTTAGAAGAGATTGATTTTTGAAATTTGTTGCCAAACCCCATACTGATATAGGATATTGCATTTTGGAATATTTCGATGAAAAATTAATCAATTCAATGTATTTTAGGGGTACAACATTTCTCATTTTGATTAAAATTCGATAGACCTTTTTGATATGAACATATATGAAGATTTCTGAAAATTCAGTCATTTCATGGCATTGAAGCCATGAAGATATTTGATCAAGGTCTTTTGAAATATTAATTTTGATTTCTTGTACACTATTTTCATTGTAAATTAAAGTAGTGTTATCAGCAAACCTTTGTAACTTACCAAATAAATTTACTGTAGCCAAAAAATTGAAATATATAAGAAACAAAACAGGTCCAAGTGTTGATCCTTGCGGTACCCCACATATTGTTTTTTTAAACTAATTTTGTCGCCAATATAGACATATTGCTTTCGTTTCATTGAATAATTATGAAACCAATTATAAATTAAACCACTTATACCTATATTATGCACTATTTTCAGAAGAATTTTATGGTCCACAGTATCAAATGATTTATTCAGATTCTAATGAAAACTTCACATTTTTTGTTTGAATCTAAATTCAGCTGTAATTGGGTTAAGGCATCTAATACTTTATAGAATTTACGATAACGATTTGATTCCTCTAGTTAGCGCAAATATTTTAAAATCGAACCAATGCGAAAAACTCTGATACATTTATATCGAATATCAAATGAGGCATGAAAATGTAGTAAAATATTGACAATCTTTTTTTACTTACAGTTTTATTATGCCGAATATTTCAATGCAAAGACGCCACCAATACCAGCATCAAGGCAGCACACAGTCGAGTGATTTTGACGTATAGTACAACCGATTGAACTAACAAATTCATTTATATCCAATAATTCAGTTCGAAAACGGTCTCATTCACTCCAGTTATTATTGTTCTATTTTACTTGTAGGATAAGAAATATTCACATTGCTCATCTACCAAGAATAATATTCTTGTATCAATATTTGTCCAAGCTCAAATGATATACCGAAAGTAAGATAATAATTTTGGCATAAAAAGAGAAACGAAGGAAATAACATAACAATTGCTTTCAAAACGACTCGATGTGACGTAAAATTCGGCGAAACTCAAAGCACAGGACTTTTCTCATTGGCATATTGAAACTTATCATAACAAGTAAATATTAACAGGAGCAACATTTAGAAGCATCACAAGGTTGATCTATACATAATAAAAACACTAAATGTTAGAAATAACCATTAACATTACCTAATTTTTCAATCATTATCAATATTTCTATTTTTTTTTGACCGTTTGTAGAACTTAATTTGAGTATTTCAATTCTAATCGTTCAATGTTATAATTCATCCTGTATATATAAAAATATCATCTGACAGGAGAAACTTGTTGAAGATAAAACGTCAAATTGAAAGAATAATATTGAAATTCTCTTTTGAGATTTGTTTGAATTAGGAACAATCGTAAGTTGAATAATGTTTGTTAAAATTGTTCATTTTCTTATTTACATTCTTTTCAAGAATTTGAGTATATATATATATATATATACATTATACATTGTTATGTGTATAAAGGTGCCCTGTTGAATAAAATGATTTGCTAGTAAAACTAGTTACAGTGGTTTATTGATATATACTGCAAATTGGTCTCTCAGTAACCTATTCAAACTAAACTAAGTAATCTCAACACTAAATAATCTTCGTAATCTAAATTGGGTAAAACACCAAATAAATATTAGAATAAGAAAACAATGAAATTACACGAAAAGCATGTCGCATGAAATTTCATACAATGCTATAAACTATCTAATATGTAAAAGTAGCCAATATGTAAATAAAAATACCTAGTATTTGTATCTTTATTGACCTAGCGAAGACCTTCGACATAGTTAGCCACAGTCAGCTTCCTTGAAGTGTCGGTAGGCACACAACTCAGGGGGATGGGTAAATTTGTCAAAAATTTGTTCGGCTTTTATTAATTCAGATACTAATTACGACTGGGATTTTTCCTGAAAAAACGCCGTCCAAAGAAATGAGGCGAGGAAATAGAGAAAATGTGCATTTCCGGATTTTATGTATCTCTATCAACTTTCGAAATATCAACAGTCAGCTTCTTGAAGAGTTGGTAGGGACACCACTCAGGGAGTAAGTTTGTCAAAAATGTGTGCACACCTTCATGAATTTAGAAACTAGTTATGACTGGATTCTTTCATAAACGAACGAATGCCGTACAAAATCACTATTAAAGAAGTTGCCGAGGATGTCAGCATATCGGTCGACTCATGCTTTGCAATTTTTTCGGAAATTTTGAGCATCAAGCGTGTGGCAGCGAAGTCCGTTCCAGAAATGCTGAATTCTGGCCAAAAAAAATGATTTCATGCGCTTCGTTCAGCAATACGAAGAAAACGTCCGGTGTTGTGGAAAAACAATTTATGGCTTTTGAATTACAATAATGCACTTGCTGACTGGTCATTGCTTGTTCGTAATTTTTTAGCTAACAACCCATTGTACATCCTCCCAAGGAGTTGTCCTCTTAGGCCATCGTCCATCCTGTCCTTTCCAGTAAGGTGGACAGGTCACTAGGAGACATCTCCTTTATATTGGCAGGTGTAGGCCAAGACTCGCCGAACACACACTCTCTTTGGCAACCTTGAGGTGTCTCACGGTGGCCTCCGCGAAGGTTTGGAAGGTGCAGCGACATTACTGTCGTAGCGTGGCTTCTTCAACCTTTTTGGGGTTCCCTCCGTGGAGGTGCACAAGTGAGGGAGATTACCTGCAGGATCCTTGCCTTTATTCAAGGCGGAGCTCTTGGCGCCCGCTGCAGGAAGTGCCCTTGCTGTTGGAGCTTGCTGTCACTCCTGCCTTCGCTCTCTTTCTCCTTTTGACCGCAAATGAGCTCACACCTTAGCCTTTGTATTAAATCACGAGGTGATCTGCTATGTCCAGCCTCATTCCAAGTGGTAAATTGGGGTGGACATTTCTGTTCATCCCCAGCCACCGCCTCAGATTGAGGTGAGCACTTCTGTCCAGCCTCGGGATTGGTTTTCGATTTTGTTATTTCTGTTTTTGTGTTTGTTTCATTCATGTGTGTTCCCACGAGTAGCAAGGGTAGAGTTGGGCACCTCTGGCAGAGCCCCGCATTACCAGAGGTAGGCTGATTACAATGAGGTTTCGCCCAGTTCTCCAAGAGGATCGTTCGTAACCGCATATCAACCTGCGGCCATTCAGCTGTCGGCATGATTCCCTACACTTTAGCTTGGGTAGGCTGGTCCACGGTGGCATGTTTTGCAAAGGCTTTTGGGGAGTTTCAGTTCCCCTCACCCTACTTGTTTCTTCCACTGTCCAGGATTCCGGCCACCCCGCCCGTAAGGCCACATTGGCTTTCCAGACAGGGCCTCCAGTCCCCTGGCCGTTCCTCTATCCGCCACCTGGGGATGCGCCCGATAGGTAGCCCAACACCCAGGCCTCCTGAGGGTTGTTCATTGATTTTTATTAATTCTTTTCTCTTACTGAAAGGAATAATAGTTCTTTTTTCTTACTTACATACATGGTTGTGTCCAGATCTAGGAAAATACAAGCTTTGCTTAGGCGTTTCCCAAGAACTGGACACCACCACACGGCACCACTCAATTTATTGTTATTCATTTATTTTTTTACTGTAATCATTATGTAATGGACATTATAGTCATACGAATTTTTGGAATACAAATTGAGTATAGAAAAGTGTTTTCTGTATAATTCAGTGTTCATATAAAAGTATTTGGTTCCAAATAATTTTTCTTTCGTGTAATTCAATGTTTATGTGGAAGTAGTTGTTTCAGGAAGGATTTTTATTCAAATTTGTATCTGAAAGTAACTTCTTTGCATGATCTACACATCTATGTATAAAGTTACTTCTTTACAAATGATTACTTCCTTCCTTTCTTTGGAAGATTCTCACATTTTTTTGACCAAGCTGGAGTAGTAGAAAGCCAAAAACTTTAATTCCCAAAAAAGCTAGTCACTCATAAAAATATAAACCCTTTCAAATTGAATAAATTATCTAACGCAATATGTAGGACAGTAACCCACTGAGCGCGTTTGATGGTTCGCAGTGTGTTACTAATTATATGTACACGCCTTCAGTAGGGTGTAAGATCAAAGATATCATTGGTCTGAGTATCTGTGACGTCATTTCTTCAATCTGCAATATTAATTCTCGTTGTAGTGTGGCGGTAGCTTAAGTCCGGCCGTACATGGGCCACATATTTGCAGTTGAGGCAACCACAACATTGTGGCCACGTTGACTGCACTTCGCGGTTGACCCAACCACATTTTTGAGGTCGACTTGCGGTCATATAAACCGCACTTGCAGTTGAGGCAACTGACATCAAAAATTGAATGCTGTGGGACCAATACGAGAAAAAGTACACGACGTTGTACGCGGTTGGGTACGACTGCAAGTTTGTGGTTAGTGTACGGCGGATGCCGCGATGACATCTCGGCGGAGATCAGCAGCAAGTTGACTGCAGACGTCCGTTTTGACTATTGTGAACGCCCGTGTACGTGTAGTACAGTATTTCTTATGGGCGGCTTGAATTCGCTGGAACGCGACTACAATTGTATGGTCGATCCGACCGCAAAATGTGGCTCGTGTTCGGGTGCTCTAAGTTATCGAGTCTGTGATTAGGCTACAATGCAGCTGATTGAAGTAGTCTTTTTTAAAATAACATATTCGTTAGAATTTCACCGTAAATTATTAATTTTCATAAATTCTATTCCAATAAAATGAACGCTAGTGACGATTTTAAAAATAATCGATAGGTTTTCGATAAAGAGTTCGAAGTGGTTAATGGGATATTCAATGCAGTATTATTAATTCAGTTCAATTGTAAAATAAGTATCACCATTTTGAATTAAAGGATGATACATATACAACAAAACAATCCGAAGAATTTACCGTCAATTATTTTACCTGAGAGACTATCATTACAGCGGCAATAGTACCTCTCTGACAACAATCGTTTCCTTTTTACAGACCTAGATAAAAGATATATCTTGCGCCAATGTCTAAACAGGCAAAAAAAAGAATAAAAGTGTCTGCAGACACTACCGTAGTATACATCCAAAGCGAAAGAGAAAAGGAAACTCAAACTAGGAAAAAAACAACGAAAAAAAGTATAAAAATTGTGATTTGTGACTTTAGTTTGCGATAATTTTGTTATTCTTAAGAAAAGCTCATCATTTTTTATATCAATAATTTTTTAGGGTTTTGCCATTGAGGAAAACTTTTTTCTAAATTATGAAAACATGCACCAATCGTACTAGGATGAAAGTAATGAAAAAAATGTTTCCTGTTGTGAATTTTAGTGTATTTTTGAAATGTACCCTTTTTCATCGAATGGTTCTGAACATACGATTATCGAATGAAGGTGGAGATGGAACAGGACGAGTCTATATATTTTTTGGACTTGACAATATCAAAAGTTAACAACAAACATGATTTTTCAACCGTAAACCGGCACATACATATATTATCATTCATAATTCGGTCACTCACCCATATCAGCATAAGGTAGCAGCTCTCAACAGTATGATCCACATACTGATAAATGTTCCCTTGTCAGAAGCGAATTTCAATAAAGAACTGAATATAATAAAGCAAATAGCCGTCAACAATGATTACGATAGCGGTCTAATACATTCTTTATTATCAAAAAAGTTAAACAGTCAAGCTTTGAAAGAAGTTTACACAATTTGAAGAGAAGAGAACAAAAGTTATAGAACTTCAACCTACTTAGGCCAACCCACTACAAATATTTCAGATTTTCTGCACAGCAAATACTTCTTTCAAAACCAACAACAACTTAGGCATGCACATTAAGAATAACAAAGATAAAAGTTCAGTTTCAGAAAAACCAGGAGTTATTAAATTATCGTGTGGATCATGTCCGATGTTTTATAT